TGTTGCCAAGAACAAACAGAGAAAAAACCTAGGTTTACAGGGAAAATGTAAAACTCTGTTTAAATTCAGCTAAAACCAAACTCTCTCGCTCGGAGGATGAAACTTGTAGGGTTTTGCAGCTGTTTTGCTGGTTTGTTGCAGGCAAAGCGTTAAAGACAGAACAAGAGGAAGGAGGAGAGAAAGAGGAAGGCACTTAAATAAGAGAGCTAAAAGATAGTTGCTTTGATTAAGTAAAAATGCAGAAAAAGTTACTAGTAAATGGCTTGCTTTTAGAGGGTGTATTTGTAATATTAAAACTTTCTGATTAAAATGTCTAAATATTTAAATTTCTGTATATTTTTGAAAATATTTTAAATGCACTTCAGTTTTCTCCCAGTGCTGCTTTAAATTTTTGTTTCAGTTTTAGTGCTGAAGTGTCTACAGCCGCTAAAAGGTAACTGAATGAAACGTTGCTAATGACTGGATAAATATTTGTCCTGCGATGTTTGGATTACTTCTTTAGAACGTGACAGCCGCGTTTTGGTCGACAGAGCAAAAAGTTTAGCAAACTTTCAAGTTATAATTAAATGAAAACGGTTTGCAGATGATTGTGATTTGATTATTGTGGTAAAGTTAAGGGACAAACTGGAAAACGTATTTGGAAATAGTTGTGGTGGCTTTAAGGGGTTATATACAGTTGTGATGATAAAAAAATCGACTTTTTTTTTATTTCATATTCTTCAAGTATATAATGTTGAGAATATTCTCACAAAAATTCATAACGATTGGAGCATTAGAACAGAAGTTGTAGCTATTTATAGTGCACGACCTGCACATCGGCTTGAACAAACTTGAAACTTTTAACGCGATTATCTCAGAATCGTTTTTTTCGAAGTTACCTTTGCGGTGGACACGATTACTAAAAAACTATTGATCCGATCAACACCAAATTTTGACCACTTATTTATTATAACAATAGCTAGTCCTCTAACGAAGAATTTTTTATTTTTTTTTTTAACTTTTTTTTTTAAAGTATAAAAATCGAAAATCTTATACCTCGAAAAAGTAAATTTTTTGTTAAAACTGTCGCCATTTTTTTTTTTAATCAAAAGTTTTACAAATCCATGGTCTAGAGGACTAGGCAAGACAATATACTAACGAAAAATTGTTTAATTTTTGATTTCGGATGAACCGTTCTCGGGATATGATGTCCACCGCAAGTCAAAATCGAAAAAAAGACGATCTTGGAATTCTGCCATAACATTTTTAATATTTAAGTTTTTCTTATGAAAAAATTTTATGAAGTACCCAGAAACATGTACTAAACAACGTCGGCAAAACATGTTTAATAAATATTTTTTATGATGTCAAAAAAAAATCGACAAAATTGCATTTTTTTGCGCGGTACAACTGTATATAACCCCTTAAAAAGTGATGGCTAATTTAGAAAATAAATGTGAGAATAGCAAAAAATAAAATTTCAATGGCCCATGTTTTGTATTCATAACCTTAGCCTTAAATCCACGCAAATTCCTAACCATCCAATTAGAGCCGCCTGACGCTGCTTCTCCTTTTTATATATGTTAATTCCTCCTTACACATTTTTCTTTTCTCCCAAAAAAAGAAAAATTCCCTGTGATTCCGCTCACCTCACAATTTTCTTGGCGGCGCAACAATGAAAGTATGCCCCAAAGTATTTTGTGTCGGGGCGAAAAGTTTCCGAATTTAAAATTAAGCTAACAAGCTGAAATCGTTTCTCGCACCCCGAAGGACGAGAACGAGTCCGTTGGCTAAAGCCAATTATTGTTACAATATCGAAGGGACAGGACGGGACGAGACCTCAAAGTGGGCGCAAGGAAATGTCCAAATTGCTGGAAAAACGGCCAGAAACCATTTTTTTTTGTGGGGTATCTATTAAAGAGCAAATAGATACTTGTATATAAGTGTATTATATATGTTCCAGATTGAGTAACTTCTCGGGCAGGCTTGGCAATTTGTTTTCCCTTTTTTTTTGGGGTGAAAAAAGGAAATCACTTGACTTGTCGCAGTTGTCCTTGTCGCTTCCAGAGGCGCTTCTCCTTCTGCTTTATGGCGTACAGGGGAGAGAGTGTCAAAAAACTTGAACGCCTGTTGGCATACACACACGCGCGAAACACTCGAGGACCTTCCTGGTTTTGTGGCTGCCGCTTGTAGCCGCCGAAAACATTTTGCTAACGATTTATGTCCGTTGCATGCTGACTTTCCAACCGCCTTCCCTTGCAACCATCGCTCGCAGACAAATTTCTGCTACTTTTTCAGTCTGCACTGCGAGTCCTGTGCATCGTGTGCTTAATGGCGCATCGCCATCATATTGGATTTCAGGACAACCCCGCCCACGGAGGAGGGCAGTGCAGCCAGGAGTCGATGGCGGCAATAGCTCGAAGCAATTAGTTTAGTCTTACGGTGAAGATTCCCTCTTGAGGTTAAATGGGACGGGGTTACAGCTTCCTTCCTGCTTCTCTTTTTTTCTGTCTGCCGGGATAGTGTTGCACTTTAAGTGGATGCTATGATGGCGGGGATTAGTTGTCTGACTTAAGCAGGCAGGGAACAGCATTGGTGGTTTGTCAGGGGGAAATAACAAGCACTCAAAGGTACATTTTCTAGGGGGAAAAGTTGCGAAGAAGAAAATACTTGGAGCTTGTAAAGGGAGATTAGTAATAATTAAGTAAATTCAGAATACTTAAAATAGATTTGTAGAGTATTTTGTACACTCTTTAAATTTTGGAATAAGACAAACGAAGCCACACCTTTTAGGGGCCACATACTCATGTACCACTTTTCTCTCTCCCAAGATCTTTGATCTGTAAAAAGACACTCATCAATTAACCCTTGGAACTTTCCGCCGCTTTCAGTTTCCCTACCAGTTGGGAAAATTTTTGCACTATCTGTCCGTTCCCCTTTCATCGAATCCCTTTGCTGGGACAACTTTGGAAAGTTTTTAATTAAACCAACTTTAAAGCTTTTAGTGTTTTGTGCTGCTGCTGGTTAGCAAGGGGCTGTCAACATGTGCCGGCAGGACATGCCAGGGGACTTGCATACGTTCCTGTCTCCTAAATCCTTGTGACCCTTACTTGGGCTATATTAAATCTGAGCTGTTCTACAACAATGTAGCCATTAACACATTCGGCCAAAAGTGTCACTGGAACCCGAGCTTAAAGCTTTTGCTTGGCGAAAAAAGATGGAAAAACAACAAGAAATGGCAAACAACCCGCAGGTTGGTCGAGAGGAGCAACTTTTGCCAGCACGGGAAGCAGATTGGTTTAAAGCCTAAAATCCTTTAGCAGCCTGACAGCTGTGGAAAAGGCAGATCGCTGGCTGGTGAAGGAGATGCAAACAAGCCGGGGACAGAGGACAACGGACACTGGACACTGGACTCTGGGACACTGGGACATAGGGACAGTGGCCACAGGACCTGTGTCAAAGTTACCCAGCGAAGCGACAAAAAATGATGTATCAAACTGGACAGGAAAAAGGCATTGGGGCGGTAGTAACTTGAGAGGGAGGCGTGCCACGGCCCAGTTTGTCCTTAGTCCATCGTCCTTTTTTTGTGTTTAAAGTTACACCTACAAAAGCGTCAGCTGTGCATCCTCATCGCCATCATCCCGGCTTGGCCCTGTCATGTCTCGTCCTACGCCGCTTCGCTGGGTTCACTGGGTTCACAGGAGCGGCTCTTTGTTTTTCTTTTTTTTCTGCTTGGTCCTTGCCTTATTCTAGCCGCTTGCTTTGCGGTTTTTTATTTGAGTTTTGTATTAGTTTTTGATTGTCTACCGATGAGTTTGGGGCTCGTTATTTCGAAGGAAGAGACGAATTTTCATGGAAATTCAAGTTGGCTTCATTATAACAGCGTACGTTCTGTTATTTATGCTGTTAGGCATGATATTTCTAGCATGCGATAATGGTTAACAGGAGCTGGGATGTTGGGTTGGTATCCTGGCTAATGTTGTGGCTATATGTTATGGGAGTTAACAGAGTTGTGAGCTTAACATTAAGAATTTTCATTTTAAAATTTGAATTTTGGTTTTAGGTTGAAAATATTTGTTTTTTAAGAAGAAGTAGTAGAATTTGCTGGAAAAATTAAAATATTCCTTTTAATTATTAAGGTATTCCTTTTCCCCACTTAAATTAAAAATTTCGTACTCGTTTTTCCTTTATCCTTTTCCCTTTTTATTTACTTGATGGCCGGTAACTTTAATACCCATTATCCTGGCTGGTTAACCTCTGGCGCATCCCTTTAATTTATCATCCCAAAGTATCTAAGCTTCGCCTTTTATCTCACCCATTATCTCCATCACCGGGGCGAGTTTCAACCCCCAGGGCGCCCTTTAATGCCGGCCCCAGAAAAGTGTAAACAGCAAAAACTAATTGTCTAAGGGCACGCAAAATGCTCCCTTATTTTCCTTTTTGTTTTCCCTTGTATTTTCCTTGTATTTTGCGTTTTTCTGAGGAATATTTATGTCGGCTTAGCTGTGTAAACATGGCGAAAGGAAAGTTTTTATATATATTAGAAACTTTTCAATAAAATAAAGCTGAGTAGCGGCTGCAGTCTCAGCTGTTCAGGCTTTTTCATTTGCATTCCGCTGTATTTTGGTCACGGGACGCGCCCTTTTCGCATATATATATATATATTTTTTAGTGTCCTTTTTCAGTTGTAAACAAATGCTGGGCTTGTAGGAGGGAAAGTCAACAACAGAGTTTATTTTATGGCAGCCTTTTAGGCGGCTCTGTTAACCTGCACGCGCTCGCTCTCTCTCTCTGCCTCTCTATTGATTTGTTATTTACGCTCTGCGCAAACTCCGCTCTGCAAACCGGGGACCGGGGTATACAGGGTGCTCCATTTTGGCTCCCATTGCCCCAGAGTCACACATTTCCTCAAAATTAGCACACACAACAGAGAGACAGAGAGTGATAGAGAGCGCCGCTCACACATACCACCGCACTTGAACGCTCTCGCAGGCTCTCACGCACACTTTCCGTCTTTGCAGGGCTGGCATGTGGATAAATTCTAGCCGCCATGGATCCCAGTGCTCTACAAAACATGGATCGGGACGCATTAAAGAAGCAAATCGAGAATATGAAATATCAGGCCTCCATGGAGCGCTGGCCGTTATCTAAATCCATAGCAGAGTGAGTAGCAATAATTGCAAAATTAAATAATAATATTTACCGATGATAAGTAACAGTAACAATAGTGGTGGCAATTGTGGTGAAGTGTTTAAATAAATTAAATATCGGGGCTGTGAAAAAGGTGTTGCCGTGTGACCCTTGACCCCATTCAGCTGGCTCCGTCTAGACCGCAAATCTATTCGCACACGTGTGCTAAAAGTCAGCTTTGCTTCTGAATTGTTTGCTAAATGTTTACACAAATGCGAATTGGAGAAGCTGTCTCGCTGCCTGCTTCGTCTCAGGACCCAGGATACTCTGCCAGTGTGTGTGTGTGTGTGTGCGTGAGGTCGGTGCATGTGTGCGTGTGTGTAGACGGCGGCTAGACGTCAAAGGAGCCCCAGCTCCCCTTTACCTTCCCCCTTTTTTTTTAAGGGAGAGAAGAAACTATACAGAACGAATGGTCGCCGTCGGTAAATTGGATTTACTGAATGAGAAATGTACCGTCCTTGCAATTAATTCCTATTCCCCTTTCATTACCAATTCAATGAAAAGAACACAGGACATAATGGGGCAGCTAAGAGAATGCCCTCAAGGTGTGTTTCTTCGTTGAGTATTTAAGGCAGTAGTAGAGTGTCCTCCTTGTAAGACATTTCCGCTGATTTTCTCCGGAAGCACTGATAATGATTTCCGGGACATTCGTTTTTACCAGGATTTATACAAGTAAAGAAAAGTCCTTTCAGCAGGTATAAGACTATGAAGTCCTAGTAAACAGCTCATAATACATAGACTAATATTTATATTTATAGTTTACAGTGATTTTCCTTATCTAACTACCTCTGATATATATTTATTATATTCGTATTTCCAGTAGTTACTTTTTTAAGACTTAAAATTGTACATTTACATTATTTTTTATATTTTTAATTTGTTATCATTTCCCATACAGTCATCCAGGAATCCTAAAAACTGTTACTAGTTAATGGTTCGATTTATATAAAATATTGTACAAAAAAAGTAATGCTTTCAAACCCAAGTAATCCAGGTTAATTCCCTTTGGCATTACATATTTTATTTTAAAATCTTTTCTAAGCGAGAACAAAACCTGCTGCATAAATCACAATTAACGCTGTCGCTCTCTAATGGCCGGCTTTTAATTTAGCTCTGGACCCAAAGGCAAACATCCATCCTGCCGAGTCGGCCCCTTGGGCCACCATGGACTGCGTTCGTAATGTCATTTTTTAAATAAACACCCAACTGCGGGGGGAGCAGACGTCCTCTGATTTAGTTAAACATTTAGTCAGCAGCTAATTATGAATAATTAATTGGCACACAGTGAAGCCTCCCCGTTTCCCAGTCTCGCCAGCTCCCTTGGCTCATCTGTGACTTAATGTGGCTCAAACTGGCACCAAATGTGTGCGTTGTTGGCCGCTGCCAGCGGCTTTCATAAATAATTTAACACCCGACTTTAGAGTAGCCCCCTACCCTCAGATTTTGCCAATGTGCAGTCGAGATTCTGTTTACTAATTTGCAACACGTCGAGACGAGGCTCCTTTCAATTAGGTGAGCTTGACTCTCTCCCAGAGTGTTTATTTCTCTGTATAATTCCCAGTTTTTCTCGGGCCTTGTCTCGCCACTGAGTCACGTCGACTCTTAATTTAGAGGTGTTAATTACAAAAATATATACGGTTGGCAAAGAAGCTGCGAGGCCAGGGTAGAGTGTGAAGTATAATTATTCCAAATGATATTTTGGCTGCTCAAATGTGTGTAATAAATTCCCCAAAAGGTTTGCAGCTTTTCAAATTACAAATGAATGTCGTAATTGAGTTACAATTTACATTACAACTTTTTGAAGTTTTTAAATTGAGGAATGCGTCAGGTTTTTAAGCGTTTACTGAAATGTAATAATGGATTTTTTAATTGAAGGTAAAAGATAAAAATTCAATGATTAACTTCTTTTACAGGTAGAAATTAAATGCTAACCTTTAAAAGAAAATTATTGAATTTCAAGACATTTTAATTCAATTTAAAAGCAAATGATTTCGCAAAACCACCAATTAAAAAATATTTCCAATTATAAAACTGTAACCACAGCATTAAATTGGAATTTCGCTTTGACAGAACTTTTTGACGTTTATTAGCTAAAATTTAAACAATTTAGTTGAATAAATTTGGCTAAATTGGTTCAATACTAATTCTATTTAATTTTCAAAACCCCAATGTGGTAGACTCTTCCTATTTATATATTTTTTGTTGATAATAGCAACAAATTCACAGAACATCAGGCATTTGTCACTTAATCAGGGCACAAAGCGAGGCAAATTAGGCAGTCATCGCTCACACACGCTCGCTGCAAATGACAGGACACATGTCAAAGTTTACAAAATCAAAGTCAATTAAATTTTGAGAGCGTATCGACGAAGCATTGCTGATTGATGGCGCAATGGCACAGCACTGACCACAAAAGTGGTGCGTTCGCTCGGTGTGTGTACTCGTTAAGTGCACCAAACACTGCACATTATGGCGATTTGTTGCAGGCAACGTAACGACGAAATGGAACCGAAAACCCCCGCTCCCGGAGAACCACAAGGATACGCTTCCTCTACGGTTGGCTCCGGGAACCCATGATTGATTGACGTCCGTGTGGGTGTCCTTGCGATGTGTGTCTGGTGTGTGTGTGTGTGTGGAGCCACAAAGACCATCGTGCGTGACAAGCACCTGGTCGCAATTTCCCTTCACTTCGTCCTGTGATTCGTCCTGGGAGGCGTAGACAAAATGTTGCATACCTCCAGGCGCATACATTTCACCTTAATGTTTGGTCAGGGCGAGTAAGGCGAGGTACGAACCGGTGTCCAGGAGGCGTGGCCAGGGAAAACTTTTACTTTACATCGCATAAAATGTGTCTCGGTTGCAGCTCCACTCGGAAACTCCTTCGACTGCCGCCTATAAATCTTTTTCGCTTCTCAATTTATTATTGCCGCCGCCTCTTTTTCCATGGGTCCTGCGATGTGTGTGGTGTTGCTCTCAGGTACTATGTTTGTGTGTGTGTTTTTGTGTATAAATAATGCAGAATGAAACACACTGGGCTACAAAATATGGGAAACGCTTTGCAGCGCATTTCAAGCGGAAAATTATGTTACTTTTGTGGCTGTTTGGGTTTAGGGCTCCTTGTTTTGTATATATATCTTTATGGCATTTCATATTTTACTGCCGCTACCCGGGCAGTTTATGTGCTTTTCCACTGCGGTTTATAGTGCGCTGTAAATTTTCCCGAGGGAGGGGACTAGAAGCAAATGCATTCCGCTTCCTCTAATCTTTGTTGCATTCGACTTCCGGCGAACATAAAAAAAAAAAAAGCTTTTACCCTAAGCCATTGACTTTATTCTCAATTAAATCAGCAGATTTATTTCGATTTATTCACTCGACGCATATATATGACATATATATCTGTATGTATGGCTATGTATGGGCAATCAATTTTTTGTATTGGCCATAAATCAAACCAACATATTCATATTTTTTTCTTTTGTGAACTTTTTTGTGGGATTTCGATTTGATTTTGATGGGAAGTATCATAAATTGTTGGTTGTCTGTAATTGAGTCGGTTGATGTCCCCAGATAGGATTCGGAACCTCGGTTTTTGTGGATGGGAATATGATAAAGATAGCGTTTTTGAAAAGATTTTAAGATTTTAAGAGCCTCAATTTAAATGTACACTAAAAATTCTTAATAAGTTTTATTTTTTAAGTTGAATAAACTTATGATATTCGCTTTAAATGCATTTCCTTTCCATAGCAAACCCATTGATGGCTCAAATAATGCAGTCTCATGGCTCGAACAATGCTGAAAACTTGGCCAACTCATTGGCTTTTCCGGCTCGTAGTGATCTGTTTTCTTCGACTCAGCTTGACAGCCAACTTTAAAGCTTTTTGGCTGGCTGCCTTGTTGCCAAATGTCGCAGAAAAAAAGAAAGCACCAACTTTGATTAACTTAACGAAATGAAATTCAAGAGGGGCGTCGGGATAAATGGGCCAACAGGAAATCCTCTCTGGCACTTTCTCCCCAATGTCCCGTTGCGCCACATTAGGCACACACACGCACATGACATTAGATGCGCTTCTCCGGCAAAACGCTCCCGACTCTTGTGGCTTTCATCGAGCGGAAAACGGGGGAAAGGAATGTGTATGTATGGAATTGCTTTGCCGGCGTGTAAACTCTAAAATGGCCACGCATGCAAATTAATTGCCAGTACATGCCAACGAAAACCGGTTGTGGTCCCTGCTTTTGGCCACGTTTAGCTCTTGGCTTAACCTTTGTTTCACCAACGCCCCCGCAGACCCCCGGTGAGCCACTGAATTGGATTAGCGGTTTATTCAATTTCATTTAAATGCAAAACATTTCGAACAAAAGGTTTTTTTCTCGGACAAGCCGGAAAAACTTTCAGGGAGAAAGTTTAATAATATAGGTATATATTTTTTTTTCTTGAAGAGTCTTGATCCAAAAAGGAAACGAAAATGGAATTTTCTGAGAGTATTTTCATTGATTAAATTTCTGGATAGTGTTTTGAACGAATTCCTGAATAAAATAACACAATAAGGGGTTTTAAAGCCAAGAGATATTAGTTTTAAAAGGAGTTCGTTTCATTAAGATAACATTTTCACCGAATTAAGGCTCGTTAAAAAACAATTGTGTTTGCTTTTTTCACCAATATATGTAGGAAAATATATATATTTGTTGTACTTGTACTCTTTCCGGCTCAAGTTACCATGTTTGACGAAATGTTGGAAACAAATTTCCGCATGCAAAGTTTCTCTCAGCTTCAGCTTCAGCACATTTTCCGAGCTTCCACTGCAGACACTCGACCCCTTTGCCGCCGCCCCGAAAAACAATTGCCCTTTATCCAGATGAAAAATACACCGACCCGGAATAGACAACAATGGGGGGAAACGCTGTGAAGGAAAGTCTTATCAACTTGCCGTGGAGAATAAATTACACAGGCTGGCGGGCCGGGGCTCAGGGATATG